CTTTTGGTTTTAGCAACATTTTGTTGGGAACCAATCCCTTCCCATTGCCTGTATGTGATGGTTTGTGCTCATGGGGAGCACTGCCTAGTGGTCAGGACTTAAGGGGTAAGGGTTTTGGTAGGGGAGCCCAAGCCCTCCCACTCCCCTCCAGGGCCCTGTGAGATCTGTAAGGTCTAACACCCAGGAGCACCTTAAGGCTGCCCTCCCTGGGCACTTCCTACCACCCCACTATTGTCCAAAGTTCAGTCTGCAGCAAGGAGGTGTGAAGCGGGTCAGCTCACTGCTGGATGCCTCCTCATGTCCAGGCTTGGCATGGAAGCACTCCCTCTCAGGGTAGCAGTTGCCTCCTCCTGTGACTTGGCCCTCTGGCCCAGTCAGTTCCAAGTCTCTCCCCTGTCAGTGTAGTCCATAAACAACACAAACGGGAATTAACACAAACAGAGTTCATACTGGGGGGGTGGAGGGGGGGGGGAATGGTGAAGTGCCTCCCTCTCAGGGTGTACCTGAAACAGATCCTCCCTTCTCTCAGGGAGGGACCTTTGAGCAGCTGCCTTCCCTTAGCAATTACAGGTCTACTCTCTGCCATGGTCTATCACCAAGTGAGCTGTTCTGCTCCCTTTTAACTCCTCCCCCAATCTGTGCATCTCTTGCAGGTGTAGCTGGGAGGGGCTGGCTGAGTCCAGAGCAGTTCCTTAATCCCTTGTTGCCACTATGGGGTTTGTATACCCCATCACACCCTCACGTTAATGGCATTCAGTTACTGGCAACAGGCATGCTGCTTATTGACAACTTTTTGGAAAAAGGGCCCTGGCCACAGACAGCTTTGCAGGGCTGCAGCTAGGGAAGGAAGTGCTGGGATGTGCACAATACCTCTCCCTGTGCTCTTAAGATGCATCCTGCTCTCAGGCTCAGCACATTCCACAGCTTCCTTCCCTGCTGCAGTCCCACTAACTGGTCTGTTTTTGGGGACCCATCACCCTCACAGGAGACAATGTGCTGAGGCATCCACATCCCCACCCAGTGGGGGAGCCCTGCTCGAGTCCTGGTGCTAAGGGCTAGGAAGGGAAGCTGGGAGGTGTGACGGATTTGGTCACAGAGATCCCCTTGGGTCTGTCACCTGACGTGCTGAGATTACGTCTCAACCCATTTTCCCTGCCAGCTTGGGACTCCAGAACCCTGCCTTGTTGAGCCAGACACACTAGCCTGCTGCAAATACAGACCCAGGTCTGATCCACACCTCCAAAGCTGCAGACTTAACTGAAAGCAGCTTAGCAGGTTACCTGCCTCCAGCACCCAGACCCTCAGCTCCCAATGGGATCCAAACCCCAAATAAATCCATTTTACTCTGTGTAAAGCTTATACAGGGTAAACTCATAAATTGTCCGCCCTCTATAACACTGATACAGAGATATGCACAGCTGTTGGCTCCCGCAGGTATTAATCACTTACTCTGGGTTCATTAATAAACAAAAGTAATTTTATTAAGTATAAAAAGTAGGATTTAAGTGGTTTCAAGTAATAACAGACAGATCAAAATAAGTCACCAAGCAAAATAAAGCAAAAACACATAAGTCTAAACCTAATACATTAAGATTACAGGTAAAATCTCATCCTCAGAGATGTTCCAATAAGCTTCTTTCACAGACTAGACTCCTTCCTAGTCTGGGCCCAGTCCTTTCCCCTGGTACAGTCCTTGTTAGTTCCAGCAGACATCTTAGGTGGAAACTAGGGGTTTTCTCATGACTGGCTGCCCCTTTGTTCTGTTCCACCCCTTTTTATAGCTTTGGCACAAGGCAGGACTCTTTTGTTTCTCTGGATCCCCACCCCTCCTTCTAAATGGACAAGTACCAGATTTAAGATGGATTCCAGTATCATGTGACATGGTCACATGTCCTGTGAGACCGCATTCTTCATTACCCACAGGCTAGCCCACAGGTACACAGGAAGGCTTGCAGGTAAATAAACCCATTCACAACCAATTATCCTAGTCAATGGGGATGGGAGCCAGGGGATGGGAGCCATCAAGATTCTCAACCACCATTAATGGCCCATACTTTGCATAATTACAATAGGACCTCAGAGTTATACTTCATATTTCTAGCTTCAGATACAAGAATGATACATACATACAAATAGGTATGGTTCAGTAGGTTATAACCTTTGTTATGATACCTTACAAGGGACCTTTTGCATAAAGCATATTCCAGTTACATTATATTCACATTCATAAGCATATTTTCATAAAACATATGGAGTGGAATGTCACAGGAGGTAAGGCTGCAGGCAGGACAGTGGGGGGCGGGGCGGGGTGCAGCAGCCTGCGTGTGGAGCGTTTCCATGGAGAGCAGGGCAATGGGGGCCTGTAGGGCTGCGTGGTACCTCTTGCTGCGCTCTCTGACCTGCACTTTGCCCTGGCACCATGGGCCAGGCCTTAACACATTCCAGTGCTTCCTTCTGCAGCTGGAGCCCTGCAAATCTACCTTTTGCTTATTGGCAACTCTCAGATAATAGTAATTTTTTGCTGAGAACTGAGAGGTGCTAAGAAGGGGTATCCACTCCATTTGTAGCACTTTGCAACTGAAGAATGTGGCCAGATTTTCAAAATGAAAAAACTAGGACACTTTGTATACCACAGAGATGTCTGTTGGGGTCTCAAGCGCCTTAAGGTATTAGGGCTCATGCAGTGCAGGAGTCCATCTCTGCAGAGTTTATGAGAGGATCAGGGCATTAGCTGTGAGACACTCCAACCTACAGAATTAGGGGAGAGGCCCACAGGTGGTGGTGAACTCTGTCCACGCTGAGCTCTTTGGAATGTCAGCAGCTATGTGAATTTGTTGGTGAGTGTGCAGTGAATGAGACAATGGTACTCAGGAGCCATTAGAGGTTTGTGCATCACCTTTAATTTAATTTGGCGAACAGCTCATTTAATTGTTTCACATTTTATTGAATACATTTTATTTAATAAACCCTCTGGGAAACCCACCCAAAAAACCCTCTTAGTTTCAAAATTATTTAACATCGCTAAGCAACAGTAAACTTAGTTAGTATGTCATTTACAAATCCAAGCACTTAAAAACAAGGACATGAGCAAGTAAGAACATCATATTTTACACTATTCACATAACTAAACATGTTAAACCCTAATTCTAATAAGCAAAGGCCTATATGTGCTTTAATTTCATAGCTTTATAGTACTCCATATGATGATTGTATTTCTTAGTCCAGGGGTCTCAAACTCAAATGACCACGAGGGCCGCATGAGGACTAGTGCATTGGCCCGAGGGCTGCATCACTGATGCCCACCCCTTGCTGCCCCCGGCCCCGCCCCCACTCCACCCCTTCCATGAGGCCCCGCCCCTGCCCCACCTCTTCCCTGCCCCCATTCCAACCCCTTCCCCGAAGTCCTCACCCCAACTCTGCCCCCTCTCTGCCCTCAGGCGGTGCAGGAGGGGTACGGGGTGTGATGGGGGCTCAGGGCAGGGCGTTGGGGTGCAGGAGAGGTGAGAGGTGCAGCAGGGGGTTGGGGTGCAGGGTGTGGCAGGGGGCTCAGAGCAGGGAGTTGGGGTGCAGAAGAGGTGAGAGGTGCAGCAGGGGGTTGGGGTGCAGGGTGTGGCAGGGGGCTCAGGACAGGGAGTTGGGGGTGCGGGAGGGTGTGGGATGTGGCAGGGGGCTCTGGACAGGGGGTTGGAATGCAGGCTCTGGCCGGCGCCGCTTACCTAGAGCGACTCCAGGGTGGCAGCACCTCACTGAAGAGAGAGGCTCAGGACTAGGGCAGAAGGGCAGGGGAAGGGCAGCCTGCCCTGGCCCTAGTGAAGAGGGACACTAGGACCTGCTGGAAGCCGGCAGCCTGCAGAGCAGAGTGGATTCAAGTGTGCTGCAGGCTCCAGGGCAGTGAGGAGGCAGCAAGTGGGTGCCGGGAGACACTCCGGGGGGGGGCGCGTGGGGGTGGCCCTAAACATTTAACAGCTTAACAGGCACAGAAAATAACTCAGGGGGGCAGGGTGAGGGGAGTTTGGCGGTGACAGGAAGTAACGGGGGGTGGGGGGGGAGCTCCACCCGCGGGCCACGTGTTTGAGACCCCTGGGTTAGTCTAACCAAGAACTCACATATCTGCAGCAAAATCAAACTAAATTCTGCAGGAAGCCCCATTGTTTCACTATTTCTTTATGCACCCTCTTATGTCTGTATCTCCTTGGTGTCTCTTGTCTGAGACTGTAAATTCTTTGGGGGGTAGGAACAATCTTTTTGTTTTGTGTTTGTACAGTACCTAACACAACCAGGTCCTAGTCCACAACAGGGGTGCCTACATGCTAATGCAATGCAAATAAGAACCTCCCCAGCTCCCACAGCATTTTTTTAGGGTGACACCTAAAGCATGGTCACAGATCAGGATTATGGGGAATAAATACATTCACATTTTTGCTAAAATGGCCATTAGTGGCATGATAGTTCCTAACGCTGAGGTTTGCTGTCCCCTCTGTAGGTTTCAGAGTTAATGCTCCATTGTGAAGAAAGGCTCAGGCCCCACAGCCCAGGCCGTGCCAGGCCAGCACCGCACTGCTCATAGTTCAGTCTCATTCCAGCTCATCTTCACCGCCAGGGGTTAATGCAGGGCCGGCTCCAGCATTTCTGCCACCCCAAGCAAAAAAAAAACCCGCGATCGGCGGCAGTTCAGCGGCAGGTCCTTCGCTCCTAGACGGAGTGAGGGACCTGCCACCCCCGAATTGCCACAGGTGCCGCCCCTCTCCCTGGGTCGCCCCAATCACCTGCTTGTTAAACTGGTGCCTGGAGCGGGCCCTGGATTAATGATTAACCCTGTAGAGTCTGCAGCTCCTTCCTACGGCAAAGACACAGGGTCAAACTTCTCCACGGCCATACACGCAGCCTGATCCTCGCTTTCCCATTGGTCAGTCGCTGCCTGACCCTCGCTCGCCATTGGCTGTACCCGTTCCCTCTACTCTCAAGTTAGTCAGTAGCTGGCTCTGATTGGCTAGGCTACCTGGAGCACAGCCCAGCCCGGAAGCCGAGGCGCGGTGGCGCGATCGGGCGATGCGGTGACGTGCGGGTTTCGCGGCGCTGGTATTGGCGGGGTGACGGGCGATGTGGCGCGCGCTGTGCGCGATTCGGGGGACTACGGTTGGCAGGTTGGTCCTGCGCGCTCCCACCTCGCTACTGCCCGTCGGGTAAGTGCAGCGGCGGCGCCTGCCGCACCGTCTCCGGCGGGGGCGCGGGGGGAGGGAGTAATGGGAACGGAGCGGCGGGGGAACAGTATGGGGCGGGGGGCGCTAACGGGAGCAGAGCGGGGGCATGGTATGGACGGGGGTGGTGATGTAGGGTATGCGGGGGAGTTGGAGGATAGGAGGCCGTGAGGGGATGTTGGGGGGACTGGAGTGGGGGTGTCGGGGATAGGAGGGTGGGGATGTTGGGGGGACAGGAGTGGGGGTGTCGGGGATAGGAGGATGGGGGTGGGGATGTCAGGGGACTGGAGTGGGGGTGTCAGGGGATAGGAGGGTGGGGATGTTGGGGGGACAGGAAGCTGTGGGGTGGGGATGTCGGGGACAGGAGTAGGTGTGTCGGGGGGATGGGAGTGGGGGTGTCGGGATAGGATGCGGGGTGTCAAAGGATTGGGAGACCCTGGTATATCTGACTTTCTATAGGGTCTTCTACTGGGCTGTCTGAGATGGGGTGTTGGGGAAGGGAGGATGGGTGGTATTGGGGACTGGGGTGGGTTGGGAGTGTAAGGGGAACAGGAGGTTAGGGGGGTGTCATAAGATTGATATAGGTGGGGTTGAGGGGATTTTGCATGGAAGGGCTTTTTACACCCCTGGCTCCTTAGCTGTAACTCCTCATCCACTTCATCTGGTCCCAGCCTGAGGGCCCAGGAGTATCTTTCTGTGCTGGATGTTTTCATGCTGTTGCGTAGGTTGGTGTGTGAGGCTAGCACTGCTGCAGTGGAACTAACCTTCACATAGAGAATTCGGATCATGTCTCTTAACCATCATCTTAACTCATACCTCAGTCGGAGACCTGCTTCTCAGTGTTGCTGGCAATACTGAGAAGCAGGTCCCTGTAACTGAGAGAGATTAAAGGAAAATATTTCCTTGATGCATTTGATGGTACTCGTTGTCTAGTCGTCATCACTGTTTCCACTTGGTAGTGTGGGTTTGTCACAAAGCAAAAATGAAACAGTTTTTAAAAATAGCAAAAGGTGAGGGCGAAACCCTCAGTCAGTTGTAGGAGCCATAGGGGAAGACAAATCACCTATAACTAACTTTAATTCCTTTTTAAAAAGTATAAATTGATTTGTATCGAGAATAAAGTCTCTGTATAAACTTGTCACATCTTGGGCAGATCTTGCAGCACTTTGGGCATAGGAAAAAAACAGGATGAAAAAGGTATTTGTTTAATTAGAAAATGGTTTAGAATACACTGCCCCACGTTACAGTTTCTGGGCATACTGCACCTCAGACTCCTGCGCTCTCTCAGTATTGCTGCACTGCGATAAAAGATATCTCACAGTGGTCTCAGAGCCCTGGCTCCAGCGCAAGCCTGATCATCTACACTGGAATTTTTAGCCCCACAGCTCAAGTCCCGTTAGCCCAACTCAGCTGACCTTGGCACGGAGACCCAGTGCTGTGAGTTATTTTTATCACAGTGTAGATGTACACTCTAAGCACGCGCCCTCTTGGTTTCAGGCCTGTAGTTGTCACATGTCTCTCAGGGTGGAATCATGCAATTGTCCCACTCTGACAGGACCCTAGGTTGATTATCTCAGCAGATCTGATTTATGTCCAGACTTTGCAATTCTGTTCCCTCTGTGGGGCAATGACAATGGTAGATAAGTGACCAAACAACCTGCTTAAAGCAAGCATGTCAGGAAAAAAATCGTAAAAAATAATAAAACAGATTGTACATGTGTAGCTTATCAGATTTTTAACCATCTTTCACATGTAGATCTGACTTCCTATAGAGTTTTCCATTGAGCCTCTCTCTGTCTCAATTTGTCTCCCTAGGGGAGCTTACTGACAACGCCCTAAGCAGTCTGGCAACTCCACCCTCCTTTGCAGGAATCATGTAACTTTTTAGCTGTTTATAGTCCTTTGATCTGGTAACCTCTAGCTTTGGCAAAACAATCAGGGTGGATAAAAAAGATTTTAAAAAAGATTGTTTTTTGTTATTTAAATCAGATTTTTTGGTAATGCTTTTTGAGGAAAAATCTATCTAAAGATAGTTTTAATTAAGATACATTATAGCTCTAAGATATCTCATCATGGAATAGGGATTATAAATTCTAATTCTATAGTATGAGACAATATATTCATGGAATGTTTAAGAAAAGTTTTGTAAATGAGTTCCAGTAGTTCATGGATTAGGAACCCAATCTTATGGGACTCCAGGGGCTTCTGTATAGATTATTTAGGTTAATCTTTCAATCTGCCCAATGGGACTCAGTGCTCAGTCTAGAAGATGCCATCAGAGATGCTTAGTTTTGCAGCTCTCAAACTGTGGATTTGTGTCTCCACAGATAACTTGCTTGTTAACAGCAAAAATGTTTTTAAATAAATAAATACTATATAGAGGTAAGAAATTTAAATCAAATCCACCCTGAAAATAATCTTTGCAACTTGTTGGAGACTGGGTCCTTGAAGCTCATAGATTGTCCCATTGTCTTTCAAGTATGTCCTTGGGTGTTTTTATCTGGGAAGCAACTGTGTCCCCTTCACATACATATATGTACATCTGGTCCAGGCCATATGATTAGTTCACTGACTCTGGTTTGGGCAAGCTGATCTGTAGCATGTGATGCAGGATTTCCTATATCAGATCACATATCCAGCCTCCTTCTAGGGCTAATACCTGCTCTTTCAGAGGAGAGTGACAAAAATCCATAAAGCATCTCGCTAATATTGCAGTACAGTACAGTACATATTGTGGGGTAGCCAATAATCTGTGCCAATCCATTTACATTTAGCAGAATAAGGTTTGCTTATCCTTCTCTAAACAAAATAATGATAAATATAACTTCTTGTAAAACTATCCACAGTATTAGAGTCCACAGCAAATTCTGAAGGCTGAACATGTGATGTGTGAAGTATTCTTTCTAACTTGTTCTAAATTTGCTGGCTCTCAGTCTCATCAAGTGACTGTCTCTTTTGATCACTGTTTTCAGTGGAAAGAGAAGTACCACAGCTATGCCTGAAGTAAACACAGATAATCTTGATGAGCAGCAGGTGCAGCTTTTGGCAGAGATGTGTATCCTTATTGATGAAAATGACAAGAAGATTGGTGCAGATACCAAGAAAAACTGCCATCTGAATGAAAACATTGATAAAGGTACAGTTTAAATTGATAGGAAATCGTGTTAACAATAATTGTGTGCAATATATATATATAAAAACCACAAACCTGGCCTTGAAGGGTTTACAATCTAATTTTAAAGCAAGATGCTACAGTGGGAATAACAAACAATTGGAGGCAATAAGGAAGGGAGAATAAAGACAATAGTACTAGGAACATGTGGCCATGAACGTTAGCAAAGGTGCTGTATTAGATGCTTTTGACTCACTTAGATTTTAACTTATAAAATATAAGCAAATAGATACATTATAACAAAATAAAAGTCTTAGAAGACAGTAATTAACTTTTATTTTAGTAGGTTTTTTTTCTCTTTTTTTTTTTCAAATGGCAAAATGTAACCACTTTATAGAGGGGTGTTAAAAGGGAATTTGTCTCAATCTTATATGCTGGTTGTGTCTACTGGAAACATGAGTCTGTATACTTCTTGAATGCTTATCCTTATATTTTTTGGTGGCCCAATACATGGTATGCATGTAAGGGTTTGCAGATTGCTCTTGTGTACTCACAGTAAAAAGTAAGGAGCTTGTCCTGCAGAAGGAGGGAGAGCTAACATTTTTGGGGAAGTTCTATTTTTAAATTCTACTTCTTATTCCATGCCCATTATTGTGAGAGCTGGATGTCTTCCAAAGTTAAGTTTGGGATTTTAACAGCCTGTTCTACATTCTCTCTCCCTGATATAAAATCTCAGGTAAGGACTAAGCTTCGGTAGTGACTTGCCCAAACATGCCATAGATAAACTTGCTTCAGCGATGTTGAGCTTAATTGCAATAACATATTGGAAGCAGATACTTAGAGACTTGTGCATGTTTGGGAATAGGAAAAGTTAACATTTAACATAAGTCAAAATACAAAATCGAAAGTGTTTCTTTTTTTCCACTTCTTACTTAAGAAAAGTTTCTAGCACATATGATTGAGAAAAAAACCTTTAAAAGATTAACCTATTCTGGTTCTGTGATCTTTGCTATTCTACTTGCAGTTCTTAAATCTTTTATTTCAGAGACTAATATTCATGGTTCTTGTCTCTGTTTTAGGATTATTGCACCGAGCTTTCAGTGTTTTTTTATTCAATACAGAAGATAAGTTGCTATTGCAGCAGAGATCAGATGCTAAAATTACTTTTCCAGGTTAGTATGTAAACATTTCATGCTAAGGTAAAAAGCTGTGTTTGTGTCTCTCTCTCATTTCCCACCATTACTTCCTCTACAGACTTTAAGATCAGTTTCCTTGGGGAGAGGAGAGAGAGTTCATTAGTTTTGGGCTTTTCCAGGGGATGAAGTCAATGTATAGGCACATCAGTTTCTTGCATTAGAGAATAATTATAGCATGGATTAGAGGCTTGTAGGGAGAGATTGTCCTAGGACATGTACAGACATGTTTGTGCAGGTGCAGAGAGTGCTTGTAACTAACTTTTCCAGTAGAGAAGAGCTAAGAAACAAAGTGGGAAAGCCATGCAACTACCTGTACAAATGGAATTTAATCCTTTAGATTCCACTTGGAAAGAAGTGCAACTGAAGTTTCTCAGGAAAAAAATATTTAGCTGTTGAAAGGTGATCCTGAGTTGAATTTAAAAACTGACTCCTTTTCACTTGATCCTGCTGTCTTAGTGGTTCTCTTTCCACCCCACCCCACCCACGAGGTAGCAAAAATACTGCTTTTGAGCAAAAGGTACAGTGCCCCTATCACACTGTCTAGAGTGGCTCACAACTGAGAGGGCCTATCTCAGGGCAGATTGTCAAAAATAGAACCGACATCCCAGACTGTTGGTATGTACTATAATTAGATTTCACCAAGCCAGTAACATAAGTGAACTCCTGAATCACTGTATCGGTGTTACCATGGAGTCACAGTCCCCTTAGACTCTTCGGTCTATCTTGCTGTCCAGACAAGCTGGACTTAGTGATAAATGGTCACTTACACTAAAATATTCAGGTTGCTCCCAGTTCCAAGAAGCCAGTCACTTGCCCCAGATCAATTGGTACTCTAGTTCGGGGTCTCAAACTCAAATGACCACGAGGACTAGTTCATTGGCCCAAGGGCTGCATAACTGACACACACACCCCTTGCTGGCCCTGCCCCCACTCCACCCCTTCCACCCGCTCCTGCCCCGCCTCTTCCCACTCCTTCCCTGCCCCCATTCCAACCCCTTCCCCGAAGTCCCCACCCCAACTCTGCCCCCTCCCTGCCCCCAGAGGGAGCAGGAGGGGTGTGGTGGGGGCTCATGGCAGGGAGTTGAGGTGCAGGGTGTGACAGGGGGCTCAGGGCAGGGTGTGTAGGGTGTGTCAGAGGGCTCAGGGCAGGGAGTTGGGGTGTGGGGTGCAGGAGGGGTGCGGCAGGGGGTTGGGGTGCAGGGTGTGGCGGGGGCTCGGCAGGGGGTTGGGTGTGGGTGCCGAAGGGGTGAGGGGTGTGGTGGGGGTTGGGGTGCAGCAGGTGGCTCAGGGCAGGGAGTTGGGGTGCGGGGTGCAGGAGGGAGTGTGGGGTGTGGCAGCTGGAACCATGTCCTGGGGGAGGGGGAACACAGGGCTCCTCGCGCTGCTTGCCGCTCCTCCAGGTACCTCCCCCGAAGCTCCCATTGACCTCGCTTCCCTGTTCCCGGCCAATGGGAGCTGCTGGGGGGCAGTGCCTGGAAGCCAGGGCAACACAAAGCCCTCTGCTTCCCCCCCCTCCTCCTCCCCCGGCCGCAGGGACGTGATGCCAGCCACTTCAGGGAGCGGCGCGGGGCCGTGGGGGGCAATCCCGTGGGCTGGATGCGGCCCACGGGCTGTAGTTTGCCCACCCCTGGCCTGGAGGTAGGCGGGGGTGGAGGAGGCCTCTTGGCAGGCCGCAGGAAATAGCCCCGCGGGCTGCGTGTTTGAGACCCCTGCTCTAGATCTCATGTCAAAGACAATCCATGAAGGCAATTCTGTAACAAATTAACTAAAGGTTTATTACCTGGGAAAAAGAAATAAGCGTTATTGACAGGTTAAAGCAAGCAAACATACCGTATATACTCTATCAGAAGCCAGTTCATTTATAAGCTGACCCCCCTCAGCACCAAGATGGATAAGTAAAAATGGAAAATTTTTATAACCTGTTCATAAGCCGACCCTATAATTTAGGGGTCAGCAGACTTTGGTTCCTGGGCCATCAGGATAAGCCGCTGGGGGGGAGCCGAGATGGTTTGTTTACCTCTAGTGTCCGCAGGGACGGAGGTAAATCTAGGTAAACAAAGTGTCCTGGCGTGTCAGCTGCTTACCCTGATGGGCCGGGACAGCAACTGGTGGGGAAATTTTTGGGGGGGGAGAAGCTGGGAGTCAGGGGAGTGATTACCCCCCACATGATCCCACCCCTAGCCCAGGGCCCCCACACTCTTCCCATCCCTTTCCACCTTATCTGGGGAGGGCCATGGGAGGATGTCTCTGGCCTGCTGGAGCTGCTCTGGCAGGCTGGGCGGCGCGGCCACAGCCTGCTCCGGGGGGCGGGGCCGAGCGGCACAGCTGCAGTCTGCCAGCCCCAGAGCTGCAGCTGCTTCGGAGGCTGGGGGCAGAGCAGCGTGGCCAGAAGGGGAGAGATTCTGGCCCCGCCTCTTCCCTTCTGGCTCTGCTGCCTCTCCTTGCT